TAACAGTCTGGTAGTTCATTCATACATGTATCAAATAATGATGTGTTGTTTTAGATAAGAAATGGTGGATATGTAAATTTGAAACAACTGTGAAGAAAAGATACTGATCATTTTGACCATTGGTGAAGGTATTATTCTTGCCTAACTCTTTCCAGAAATATTGGGTGCATTAAAAACTCATTTTAGCAAATTGATTATTGTTTTGTAATAAAAATCTCTTTAAAAAATAAAATATGGTACTTAAAAGAGTGGGCAGGAAAATGAGCTCATCTTAAAATTACCCTCCCATGCATATTTCAATATTACATCAAAAAACAAAGGAAATCCAAGTAGCTAATGTGTTTTCTGGTTTCCTGTTCTTCCCTAAGAGGTAGCACCATATGGGCTTCTTTAAAGGTGGGGTTTCTTTGTTTTGAATAAATAAAGTAATGTGGAACAGGCATAGTTTTGGATTACAAAATATGTAATATCTGAACATTGGCCATATGGTATAGAAATTGTAGTTCAAAACATCTGGAAGGTACTAGATTTTTATCACTAAATTAGAAGCTCAAACCTCCAGTTTGAATATTTGCTGCATTAGAAAAGGGAGTGTAAATTGAATAAATAAATACAATTCAGAGCATGCTTTGTTGAAATATTTCATTTCTGTTGTGCGTAGTGATAGGAAATCAATCCTTATTAAATCTAACATGACTGAATATAAGCAAAATCGCAAATTAATTAGCACATTTCTAATCTGTTGTGGGCACACCTTGATAAACTTCATATAATGGAACCGCATATAATAAATGTATAATTTCAGTGGTTGTTTTTATAGAAGTACTGTTTTGAGACTCTGATACCATTCCTGTTTATATAAATTGCTCTTTGGTGTACAAGATAAAGGCATTATGAATGTTCCTAATCTTTTCACTTTGTTCCCTAGTAAATTTCAGAATGTACCTATCTATTTGACCAAGAGATCAATAAGTCAAATAACAAATGAAGAAGGGTATTTTTGGTTGATGAGACTGCTAATTTTAATAAGCACCTGTTTTCTTCATTGATAGGAGTAAGTACAGATGCAGACATTCAGCAAGGTACTTAGTATAGCAAGCACCACCTTAGACTTGGAAGCATATATCCTGCTGATAAATGAAATAGGTTTTAAGGTGGAGAAAAAGGTTAAATATTTGGCGACGAATTTGACAAATAGTAATTGTATGCTGTTTCAAAATAATTATGCTAAGACTTGGAATAAAATTTAAAAAGATGTGTTAAGATGGGAAAAATTACAATTTTCATTGTTGGGAAGAATTTCAGTAATTAAGATGAATGTTTTACTTAGAATGTTATTTTTGTTCCAAACAATACCTGTTACGACAACTGATGTTCCATTCAAACAATGGCATAAAGATGTATATAAATTTGTGTGGCAAGAAAAAAAACACGAATCAAGTACAACGTTTTACAAGATACGAACGAAAGAGAAGGTTTAGGTCTCCTGAATTTGAAGGCGTGTTGTTTGTTTTGGATGAGAGTGGGTGACTTTGAAAAGTAGGAGGTAATTGGAACGAGAGGGGCATGACTTATGATTTGGGTGGCACAGCTACTTATAGTATGATAAAGTTAATGTAGATTTTAAAAATCATTTTATTAGATGTGGCATATTGAGAATATGGAACAGATATAAATCTACGTTGTCTCTGAAGGTTCCTTTATGGTTGCCACCACAAGAAGCTTTTTATAGAAGAGAAATGAAACTAAAAATAAATGGTTAACTTGTGGTGACGTATTGGTATTTTCTGAAAGGGATTTTAAATTAAAGTCAAGAGAAGAACTGATATCAGAAGGATACATGTGTCAATGGTTTTCTTATGTACAATTCCAAGAAAGATTTAAAATAGATAAAAGGACTTATGATTTTGAATATGGTAAGACTGAATTTGAAGCAGAATTATGTACTAATGATTAACATGTTATTGCAAAGATGAAACTAGCGACAGAAGATGAACAAGTTAAGGACTGTATGATAAAATGGGCTAAAAACTTTGTCTACAATGTACAGATGGAAGAGTAGGAAAATATGTGGCAGAAAAGACTGAAATTTACATTGTGTTATAACCTTAAAGAGAATTTTTATAAAATGATGTATCGTTGGTACTTGTTGCCAGAAAAACTGTCTAAAATGTATAAGGTATTTTGAATGTATGCTAGAAATGTGAACAACAAGAAGGGACATTTTATCATCTCTGGTGGACTTGTAAAAAAGCAAAAAAAAAATAATATCTGGAATGCATACAGTAGGTTTTAAAGATTAATATTCAAGCAAAACCAGAGACTTTCCTTTTGAGTTTGATGGACAAACAGTTGGAAAAAACTCATGGAACTTTGTTTTTATATATGATAACAGCAGCAAGGCTTTGATATGCACAGAGGTGGAAAGATAAGACATGACCTACAGTGGAGGAATGGATGGTGATGATGATGGAGTTGGCTGAAATTGTGAAATTGACTGTTTTGATTTGAGATAAGACATTGTGTAATTTTAATGCTAACTGGAAACCTTTTTTGGACTTTTTGCGGGAAACAGAAAAAAATGAAATTAT